GGTCTCGAACCTGCGGGCTCAGGCAATCCATTCACCTGGGCCTCCCAAAGCGCTGGGATTACAGGCTGAGCCACCGAGCCCGGGCCGAATTAATTTTTATCCCTCAAAATTGATCCTTAAAATTTCATGCACCCACCTCTTCCATGTTAGTCCCTGGGCCTAGAGGGATTGAATAATTTTAATTTCTGCCCTGTGTCTCATAAAGGCAGTTCACTTTGAATGTTGCCTTCTCTTGGGTCTAAAGATGATACCTTGTTGGGTATGCTTTAGCAGAGGTCAGTGCCTTTTTCAGACCCAGATGTCAAACTCCTGTAACTTAATAGCACATGGATTAGTTAAAATGATGTTTATCAAAGATGTTAAAAGGCTCAGAACATCTAATCAAAACAGAATCACAGGTCATTGCAAAAAAATATTTATTTAACCAAAGTGATAATCAAAAGACTTTAAAAGTAATACAGAAAGTCACATGGATGTAAAAACCTACATTCTTTTGAATCTTGGTCTCCTAAGCAATCAGAAATTCAAAGATGATGAAGTAAGAATTATCTTGCTAAAACATAAAATGTGTTTCTTTGGCTATTTACCAAAAAGCAAAGACAGACCCTTCTCCAGTGTGATTGTTTAGATGAAAAGAATATTTGAATTAATTAGACACAGAAGGAGTGTGTCCAGAGTCATGTATGTAATTAGAAGACTAGTATCTTGAACAGGAGCATAAATGGCTCTTAGTAACAGCATGAGAAGTGTTCCAGTAACATGATTCAATTTAGACATATCAAGAAAAGCCAAACCAGGTTCAGTGGCTCATGCCTGTAATCCCAACACTTTGGGAGGCAGAGGCAGGATTGCTTGAGCCCAGGAATTCAAGACCAGCCTGGGCGACATAGTGAGACCTCATCTGTACAAAAAATTAAAAACTTAGCAGGGCATGGTGGTGCACGCTTGTAGTCCAACTACTTGGGAGGCTGAGGCAGAAGGATTGCCTGAGCCCAGGAGTTTGAGGCTGTGATCATGTCACTGCACTCCAGCCTAGGTGACAGAGTGAGACCCTGACTCAAAAAAAAAAAAGAAAAGAAAAAGAGAGGGAGAGGGAGGGGGGAGAGAGAGAAAATAGAAGAAAGAGAGTGAGAGAGAGAGAGAGAGAGAGAAAGAAAGAAAGAAAGAAAAGAAAGAAAATCCAAGCATAGAAAATTCAAGTTATACTGGAGGAGGAAACTATTGCTTGTCTAGACTTTCAAGATAAACATTTCTGGGAAGGTTAAAAGAAACAGACTAGAGAATCAAAAGCAAACCCTCTTGTATAGGATCCTTTCTCATACAAAATTATTCTCTTTTCATATAACCTTCCTTACCAAAAATATATCTTCATATTCATAACTTTTTTCACTTTTTTCAGTGATCAATGCACAAATCCCAGATGTTTGAAAGGTGGGGTGCTTTTTGTCCACCCTGGCTCACATGCAGGCTGCTCCTGAAACATGTGCACAGTTGACTGCCACAAGCTGAGAGTGGGCTGGATGCTCCTGTGCCTAATAGCTGAAATTGATCAAAATTAACCCTAATTTAACATCTAAGACGTTCTCTGAAAGTTGCAAATCATCAGTAGACTCCTGTAGAGATCCAAAATAATAATAACAGACAGATTCTGCCAGTGCAGTTAGCGTCTAGGTGGGGAGACATATTCTTGGTGCTTTCTACTTGGCCATCTTCCCAGAATCCTTTTCGTTTCTAACATTCTCATGTAAAGTAGATGCTAAAAATTGCTTGTCTTTGCGCTTACCTTCCACTCCATCTAAGCGTGACAACTTGCAGTTGGCTGTCATTCTGCTGATCTTTATCCGAAGCCTCCTGCAATATCTGGGTGCAGCCACCCAGCAGTAATGGTTGGTAACAGTGCATCTGAGCTCCGTTTTCAACTTGACTTTTAAGTGTCATCTGTAATGAATATTTGTGATATCTGGCCTTTCCTTTCTTTTTCTTTTTTTTTTTTTGAGTTGGAGTCTTACTCTGTCGCCCAGACTGGAGTGCAGTGGCTGCTCCCGGCCACTGCAGCCTAGACCTGCTAGGCTCCGGCGATCTTTCCGCCTCAGCCTTCCAAGTAGCTGGAACTACAGGTGCGCGCTACCACACCCGGCTCATTTTGATTTATTGTAGAGATGAGGTCTTGCCAAGTTGCCCAGGGGGGTCTCGAACCTGCGGGCTCAGGCAGTCCACTCACCTCAGCCTCCCAAAGGCGTGGGATTACAGGCTGAGCCACCGAGCCCGGTTTATCTGGTCTTTTCAGTTTGAGAGCCTGAGGAATAAGGTACCTTGGACTTAGTAGGCACTTAAAACTGATAACCACTCAGTTTCTCACCTTGAACTCAGCAAACTCCACAATGATCCTTTTGAAATGTCTCTGGGCTCAGGTAAAACATTTTTCTCATTCAAACCAGGGTGCACCTCAGGGTGAGGATTCAGGATTTCAGACCAGCCACAGGGAAGAAAGCCCAGTCACTTTCTTGAATACTTTAAAGTCATTCCTCTTCAACATAAATTTTTACTAAGAAGTAAAAATGTAAAACTCATTGGTTTTGAAATATTGTATGTAGTTCCTTTTAAATTGACTGTTACTGAAGTTGAGCATTATATAAGATGAATGCCACACACAGTGCTGTAACATTGTTACTGCATCCAGTTTAAGGAGGGTGTTTCTTCTCTAGCCCTTTAGTACCGAAAACATATGTAAGATTATCTCAGATAGGAAAGGAATCCTTCCTATTCTTTTGTACATGGCAAACAATGTGCACAAGATTTATTGAGGTATCTGACAGTGAGATACAGAGACACTAGCCGGTCTCTGCACTTTTTGTGGCAGGAACTGAGCAGTTATTTTTCTGCCATAAACTGCTGCATTGGGTTATCCTGACCATTCCAATAGAACCACTTTGAAATAAGTCAGTTATTTTCACAATTTGAAACTAAGCACAAGTAACCATAGTTCACATAAAGTAAACAGAACATTAAAAAAAAAGAAACCGGCTGGGCTCAATGGCTCAGCCTGTAACCCCAGCACTTTGGGAGGCCAAAGCGAGTGGCTTGCCTGAGCCTGTGGGTTCGAGACCAGCCTGGGCAACTTGGAGAGACCTTGTCTCTACAATAAATCAAAAATTAGCCAGGCACAGTAGCACAAGTCTGTAGTTCTGGCTACCTGGAAGGCTGAGGTGGAAGGATTGCTGAGCCCAGTAAGTCGACACTGAGGTGGTCATGAGCATGCCACTGCACTCCAGCCTGGATGACAGAGTAGGACTCCAACTCAATATATACATATGTACATAAATAAACCTGAATTAAAACAAATAGAATCGAATGCAAATGACCCATTAGAAAAAGTAGGAAGTATATGGAGGTTATAATTTTTAATATAAAACGGGTCTTACATATCAAAAGTTAAAAAAAAAACCTCGAGTATAATAAGAACTGCCAAACCTGAATAGTGTAAACCAAAAATAAAATTCTGAGCCCCCTATATCCAACTAAACCAACCCCCTCTGAGCCAAGGGAAACCTGAAAAACAAAATTCCATGCCATGACTAAAAATGAGGTTGGACACACCTCATTATATCCCCTCCTTTGTGGAGTTCTAGACACAATTGATCTCCATTAACATTAGAGATCATAAAACTGACAAAACAGACTCTGTGGCAATAAGGTACCAAATTCCAACCTGACTTTGCTATAGCATCACATGATAGATAGCAGGCCCTGATGGAAATAAAAATACTTTATCCCAAAATAGGTTCCTGTGACATACTGTAAAGTGATCCTACAAAGTCAGTCTTGGGGAAATCTGCATCTGTAGATTTTAAATGTTTTAAGACATTTATCCCCTATTCTCTCTGAAGCCTGCTATTTAGAGACTTCCTCTGTGTAAGAAGAACCTTGGCTTCTCCAATTCCCCTTTTATCTTAACTCAAGCATTTCTCTTACTGGTTTTACATTCTTCAGACAGAGCTTAACTCTTTCAACCAGTTGCCAGTCAGAAAAATCTTTGAATCTACCTATGATCTATAAGCCCCCTGCTTGGAGATGTCCTGCCTTTCCAGGCCCGACCAATATAGATCTCACATGTATGGATTTATGTATTTGCCTGTAACTTCTATCTCCCTAAAATATATAAAACCAAGCTGCAATCCAACCACCTTGGGCAATGTTCTCAGGACCTCCTGGGGCTGTGCCTTGGGCCTTGGTCACTCATATTCGGCTCAGAATAAACTTCTTTAAATATTTTACAGAGTTTGGGGGGTTTTTTGTCAACAATAGACCAAATGAGAAATTAAAATGGCCATAAACTTGTGAGAACATATTCAGCATGACTAGATACAACAAATTATTTCCCTATCAAATTGTCAGAAGCTTATTTTAATCAAGCACAAGTCCATTGCCAGTATTGCTGAGCAGCTCCAATGAGCTTCTCACACTGCCATCCTGCTCTTCTGGAGGACAACAGGTACTCAAAGCTTCACTCCCAGCATGAACTCTGACCTATTCACTCTACCTGTAAGAACTGAGTCCAAGGCAGTAACTGTAATCATGAATGTGTAAACATGCATTAACAGGAGATTTACTGTTGAAACAACATTGGTGTACAGCAATAAAGCAAATGCTACATTAGTCATAGCATACCTGTAAAATATAGTAATTAAAACATGTAGAAGAATATATGTAATAGATTAAAAAGTCTGTAATTTATTAAGTACAAAAGCAGATTATAAAATATGATCCTAATTTTGTAAAAATAAAGGAAAAAAAATCCCTGAGAGGATTTATGTCAAATACTAATGCTGTTATTACTCAAAGGTAGGATTATACGTTATTTTCATTTTTTTACACTTTAATGTGCTCTCTAGATTTTATGCTTTAAGCATAATTGCTTTTATAGTCAGAAAAAAGTAATGCAAAATAAAATACATCCTATTTGGGGTAATTTAAAAAATTTTTTCACACATTTAGAAATGCAGAATTACAAAGTCAATAACTTTTATTCACATTATAATATAAAAATTTTAGAATGATATACAGAATTTCCAGAGAATAATTCTAAAACATTTTTAATGTACTTCTTACAATTTTAATTTATAAGACATCTTGTCTTACTGCCACTGACCTTTCAATACAAAAAGTTTACAATTTTTGTTTTCTATAAAACTACATTAAGATAGAAGTTAGGTAGTTCTTTTCCCTTACCAGCCATTGTATTGTCAGGAATGTCCATTAGACCACTGCTAGAACCTCTCTATGTGAAACAATAAATTACATAGATTCTGTACATAATTACAACAGAATTATTAGGATTCTAGTATGTTGCAACATACTATACCACAGCCCAACACCATGGGCAGACAGGGCTACTATGCACAGTGCTATCTGTAGCCAGACAAGAGTAAATATGAGAGTTGGTCCAGTTAGCCAGACTCATTTGTGGAGCATTAATAACAGCTTTATTAGGCACTGATCCAGGCTAATTCTGGAAAAACCTGGTTGTTTCTCTGAAGCATGCATGATTCATAAAATTTCCCACCCTCAATGCCCAAAAGCCCAACAATTTCATAACATACTCTTAATTAACTATATAAAAATAATCTGTGTCTTAGATTCGTGCTCAACTTCAAATTCTTAGAAGTATCTACAGCATTTTACATTCCCTTCTTTGATTTAGGTTCAGTATCATTTTAGATCACTCAGTAAGCTTGTCAAATTTGAGTAAAATAAGTGAAAAATGGTTTGGCCAAATGTGAGTGGCACAGAACTCAAAATGCAAAAGCCAGTGATGATGTAACCATCTTCACCTTCAACGTGGGGCAAGGCTACTCAGTTGCCCCTCGACAGTACTGCAGGTGCTTACCAAACAAGCAGTAATGGATGTAAAACTTAGATTGCAGCCAATGTTTCCATTTGCTGACTTGGAATAAAAATAATAAATCAGTACACTTCTACAAGAAGAGTTAATATTGTAGTGTTATGAAAACTAGCAATTTAACTAGTAGCATGAAGTTACAAACCAGGAAAATGATTTTAAACTAAATGCTGGCTTATCTTTCTGAAACAGAGCATCTAACTTGACCATCCAAAATGGCATTTATCAAGCGTCTATGACAACATATGCTGACATCCGACTCGCCTGTTCAAATAAAGAAACTGGCAGAGGAAGTACCATGCATGGCCATGGTGCCCTCTATGACTGGGGAGGATGGACTCAGACTTGCTCCCTTCCCATTAGCTTTGCTGAGCTGGGCTTCACTCCTTGAAACATAAGCAGGGAAGTTGTATTCATGACCTCAAAGTTCTCTTCAGCATGTATTCTATATATGAATTTGCCAACTGAAGTGGAAATAGTTAAATTTCTAAAATTAGGAACTATATTTTGAGGCTAAAGAAAGTGCAAACTTGCAGTACAGCAGAGAACAACCACGGGTGTCAATGATTCCACACAATGCCCACACAAGGCCCTTCCATTCCTTTTCCAGTCATTCCATCTGTTAAATATCAGTATCCACGTTTTTACAAATATACTTGGCAGATTCCAAATGTTTCTTTAAATAATTCAGGAAGTGCTTTCTAAGATGAGATTTGGGAAACTGTTGAGAAGGAGCTGTAAAAGTACAGGAAGGGCAAGTTGTGAAAGCAAATTCTGTTCTCCCTGTGGGGAGACTCCATGGTGTCTTCCCATGTCACACCTTGGACTGATCAGGTCTCCCATCGCTGGCATCTGAGGCTGGTGTGCTGAGTTCACATGTTGTAGGCCACATAGATTGGATCCAGCTGGTCAGCCAGGAAGCCATCCCGTAGATGCATGCGCTGCTTTTCACCCCGAGAGTTGATGGGGATCACACCTGGGTCCACAATGACCACCACGCCCACAACCAGGTAGTGTTCCTCCAGTACCACATTGGTCACCAAGGCCACCAGGTCCAGCGCATCCTGCTCCAGCCCATCCAGCTCCACCACGACAACTAGCAGGTTGGTCCAGGTGAACACAGCACTGCAGGGAGAAGAGAGATCGTATCACACAGGAATGGGCAAAAGCCACGGGAACTAATGGATACTTGGGAAAGGATGGTGCAAAGAGAGTGAAAAACACCAGCATTACAGGGTTATTTAACACTACCCATAATCTAAAGGTCTGGCCAGACACATTTTACAGAAATGTCTAATCTAATTAAAGCTCTTGCTTAGAATCAGGAGTGTTATTTGGTGCTGAGAGCTGTACCTGTTCCAACGCAAGCTCCAGCTACAAGTGAGGAAATGAGTCATAACCACTTAAGAAATTCATGTTAAAAGTAGAATTATTTCAGATGAGAACTATAGAGATCGTACATTTTGCCTGGACATTTGGGGATAGTCACAGTTTCACTGTGACCAGGGTGACTGTACAGGAGGCCTGTCCCCAGGGTCTGGAAGTCCCTGGCATGGAAGTCCCTGGCCTAGAAGTCCCTGGCATGAGGAAGGGTTGAGTAGGCCACCCGCCATCCAGGATCTCACCACTCAGCGATGCTCCTATGTGCTCGGATCACAGATGTCTCAATGTCAATGGGGTGGTACCGCATGCCTCTCAGCTCGAGTGTTTCGTCCAGAGACCCAACAACATATAGTGCATCATGCCGCCCTGTGAACAGTGTGCATGTGCAAGTGCCCAGACAGGTGGGCACACAGTCTGAACACCCACATGCCCTCTAAGACCAGCTAGGGGCTCTCTAGCACAGGGAGGTCTCCACTCAAACATAACGAGGGCCCCATGCATCATGCAGAGGGTGACGTAGGTGCTGGCAGCCAGTCACCACCTCAGGAAGGTATGGCAATATGTAAATGAATATTATTAAATAATTTTGATCTCTGGAAACAGAGCAGCATCTATAGGAATCACCTGAAGTTCTGCCTTGACCTGGCCAGCTTACTTTGGCTGTACAGGGTCCATTGGACACTGGCCACAACTTTGAATGGCCATGTATGGGGAGGGTGCTGATAGTAACATAGCTGCTGGGAAGGCCAATACAGCCTGGGGGAGGATGTGGCCTCACAACTGACACCTATCCCCCATACACTCAACAGAGGCAGTCATGAAGAGAAAAATAATAATTTTCAGAGAAAACCACTATCAAGAGCATGTCATTTACTCCACACTGAATGACATAAGATCACAGCAAGGAGTGAGGAGTGCCAGCAGGTAACCAAGGGCTCAAGAAACCCAAGTTGTTCCACATGCGAGTCCTCAATATCCCCACCTGCCTCACATGATGCTAATGTAGCATCCCAACCCCTCACCTCCACTGGCATCGGTGAGCTCTGTTCTTCGAAGGAAGCCAAGGTAGCCAGTCCTTGCCCAGATGGTCTGGGTGTCTCCAAAACTCAGTCGGGCACTGAAGTGGTCAGCATGAAGTGCCTCCTCCCCATAGACCGTGTAATACCCAGTGGCATTGTGGGGGCTGCTCACCCAGATCTGGAGGGGGACAGGGGACAAGAAGGTGGGTATGTACAAGCTGCCAGTACAGATGCTCAAGAAAAACAGAGGGGGGTAATATTCATTGTCTCTTATTTTGTGAAGTAAGCACAAATTATGGACAGAAAGCAAACATAACATTTTTGCTTTTCTCTTTTCAAGTATCTTTTTCCTCTTCAAATACGGTATTCCTTTGACCCAGGGATGACATTTGTAGGACTCTATCCTATAGAGGAGAACATAGAGGTAATTCCACCTCCCTTAAATCAAACTACTATTGACCCAGAGCCCACGTCAGCCCATACATGTTTGTGTGCATCCACATATCCATGTGCATGTGTTTATGTGCATTCACACACAGACCAATGGACCAGAGAACTGCATCTACAATACTCGGTGTATGGGGCCCTCCTAGACACAAGAGCACTCCAAAACCCACAGTTATTTTCCCACATTTACAATGCCTGGCTCTAAGTTACCCCACATGGTAGCATCCAAAAGAGGATCAGGGGGTGGCCAATAGTGGCCTCTCCCTTGAGCATCTGCCATAAGGGGTGGGTTCCCATACTTGGCTCAGACTCTCCATCTTTTGCCTTACAGACCTGGGTTCGGCCGGCCAGGAAGAGGGATGGCTGAAGGGAGGGCCTTTCATGTCCACATTCAAGATTGGGACCCAGAACACTTTCTCATCAGGACACTATGTGAACACCTGGGAGACATGGCTGAGGTTGAGTGACTGATTTCCCTAGGGGTACTTGCTCCCTTGGGGTACTTGCTCTGGATGACCAGAACCCCAGGTTGGTTTCACAGCAGAACCCACAAATGGTGCCTATGTCTACTCAGCACGAGGACATCTATCTAAGAGCATACTCCCCAGGAGGTAGGATTAGGAACATGAGTCCTACATTTCCATAATAACAGATCAACCTGAGTATTCAGAATATGATCTGCACCTTATACTGCCACCTCTGTCTAGGTCATTCCTGTCCCATATTATAGTGAGATGCATGTGCATATATACAGATATTTCAACTCAACTGATGCCTGTACAGCCTTTATATCCTGGGGTAACCAGATCCCCCACCCTCATCCTCTGTGCTCTCAAGGTGACAAGGACCTTCCACCCTGACCCTGACCCTGGATGCCCTCAGGGTGACCAGGACCCCCCAGCCTCACCCTCTATGTCCTGGGATGACCAGAACCCCACTACCCTCACCCTCTGTGCCTTCTTCAGGACCACCAGGACCCCCCCACCCTTACCTTCTGTGTCCTGGGATGACAAGACACCTACCCTCACCCTCTGTGTGCTGGAATGACCAGAACACCACCACCCTCACCCTCTGTGCCCTCAGGATGACCAGGACACCCCACCCTTGCTCTGTGTTTTGGGGTGCCTAGGAACCCCACCCTCAACCTCTGCATCCTTGGGGTGACCAGGACTCCCTACCCTTACCCTCTGTATCTTTGGAGTACCCAGGAACCCCGACCCTCACCCACTGTGTCCTCAGGGTGACCAGCTCCTCTATACGCTCACTCACTGTGCCCTAGGGTGACCAGGACCTTCACCCTTACCTTCTGGGTCCTTGGGGTAACCAGGAACTCCCACAACCTTATTCTTTGTGTCCTTGAGTGACCAAGATCCCTACCCCTCACCTTCTATGTTCTCAGGATGACCAGAAACGCCCACCTTCATCCTCTGTGTCTTCGGGGCAACCAGGACCCTGCTCTGTTATTGGGGATATCAGAACGCCCTTCCCCAACCCTCACCTTTGTATCCTTATGGACAGGAGCCCTGAGCTCCCTGTCACAGGTGGAGGCCCCAGTGAGTACCCCTGGCCTCAGTTCTTCCTGGCTCTGTGTTCCAGGCGCAGTGCAGAGACCACTCTTAAGGAGCAACTTCCAGGTTCTGCCCAAGGCAGCTGTTTTCTATGATGCACTGGTTCCTATGCAGCTCTGTCGCCCTTCCAGTGCCCTGAAACCTTGAGGTTTCCCTCTGCTGGTGGGGTGACCTGGGAGGGGCAGTTTGTTCCACAGCACCCCAAAATCCTACACATGAGTTGAGTCTGTGAGCATGATATACATGGGGAAAAGGACCAAATGGTTTCTGATAGATTCTCAAAGATATGTGTGACCCTAAAGGGTTTACAATTCCAGAATCTGAGGCAAAAGGGAGGGAGGGTGAAGCTGGTAAGGCACTAACACTCTTGCCCCCTCCCACAGAGCCCTTGCCCTCAGCCTTGGACTGGTGCTCACCTCGCCCAGGTGTGAGTCTCCAAGGGGTCCTTTGGTCTTGGTATGTGCGATGATGACCTTCACTCCAGGAAGGATCTGGAAGGAGGAGAGCTGTGTCCCTTGTTAAAGAAAACATGACACAAGACTCTCCTGATTCAGTGACATTAAAATAATGACCCTTGGAGGTTGGCCTGTAGCACTGATGTGCCTATGTCAGGTCAGGAAGTTTAGAAGACACTCCAAATTTGACTTTGAATTTTAAAAGAAGTAAGAGACGTTAAATAAGTTGCTGATCTTAGCAAAAGGACCCCAGTTCTTAAGAATGGACCTTATCTTTGGGTATAGCAAGGGTGCAGGGGATCTAGGTAAACATCCTGCTCTACTCTGGGGTCTTTCACTAAGGCTGAAAAGACAATTGGCCAGACAGTGACAGCACACCCTGTCAAGTGCACTGCATGCAGGGCCTTGGCACTGCTGCTCCCCAGCCTTGCAGGAGGTACATGTCTGCCAACTCCATCAAGCTCCCTAGTTCTTGACCTGAAACCTGACCATGATGAAGTTCTTTCAATCCAACTGCTGAGCACCTGCTATATGCCTATTCAGAATGGTCAAAGGCCACCATCTCTTACCCAGCTTCCCACACCCAGTTCTGGTGGCCTCTCAACGGGCTTGGGTCAGACTACCTAGTTGCACAAGGCCTGGCCACTTGTTCTGTGTCCTCAGTTTCCCTGTATATGAAATAGAACAATAACAGTAAAAACCTCATGGCAGGTGAGAAGAGAGGATGAGGGGGAACAGGGAGTTATGAGCCTATGGTTAGTGCCAGGCCATTCCTGCTTCTAATCTGCTGGGGCTGTTCTGTTTCCCTGGATGCTGTCGAAACATCTACCCTCTCCCTGTGTGGCCACTGCTGAGCCCTGAAACCAGAGTTCTCTTTCCAGAACACAAATCCATCAGGCCCAAGTGATTGTAACAGCAAAATAGGAAAGGAAAGTCCAACAAAAGGGAGTAAAACAATTATTGTGCAGCTATACATAGCAGGACAAGAACAGGCACCAAAAAAGAACTACTTTCAGAGTGACGTTTGAGATAGAAAAGACTCAGACACAACTTGAAATGCGTAGATCTCAGCTTCCAGTACCTTTCCAGATTCCATTAATGGCAGACTGTGTGGAGAACCTCGTTCTACCAAACGCACCCTAAAAATTAACAATGGAAACATTTCAGAATAAAACTTACTACACAGGCAGTAATTTCTTAAAAAGGCAAATCATGAGGTAAGTGGGACATTGATTATCACGCCAAAGGTCTGTTGACAATAGCCAGGATGTCAGTCTTTTGATTGCACACTCACCATAAACACCTTGGGCAGTGACTTTGGGCCCCGAGTGCTGATACCCACGCACACACTCCATGTGCTCTTTGTGCTCACAACAGGAGCTTGATCTGCATTTCTTTTGAGGCTTCCTGGGTCCTGGCTACTTCCTAGCACTCAGTAGGCTGCATCTACTGTTTATGTCAAACTGCAGTTTGGCCATATTTGAGGATCCCAAATTGGGATCCAAGCTTCTAAGCTAGAAGGGACCCTGAATACACATTTGAATGCAGACCAGCAAGCACACACATGGGCCCCAACACACAATTTCTGACATGAAAACTAAGTCAGATGTTACAACAGCATCAGGTAAGAAGTGTTCTTACCACTAGTTAGTTTATTTGACTTCCATTCATCCCCATAAATGTCAAATGTCTGATCACTCTTATTACCTTTCCTAGTTGTGTGAGTGACAAATAAAGGGACATTCACTGTAGCCATGGGGACATAGGGGAGCAGAGACAGAAGCCAAGCTCCTCTCTCTCCCATAAAGCACACCTGGGCAGAGCCCACAGCTCTCCTCTTCTCGGTGCACATGGCCCGACTCAGCCAGCCATTCACTATGGTCTGGAGTCCTGACTCAGTCAGCTATCCAGTAACGTCCAGGGGATCTTGACTCACTCAGCCATTCACTAATACCAGTGGCGGCGGCAGCGGCGGGGGGGGTAGGTTCCTGACTCAGCTAACTATCTGCTAGTGCCCAGGTACCCAGAGGATCCTGGTTGAGCCAGCTGTCCACTAATGTCTAGAGGGTCCCGACTCAGCCAATCCACTAACGTCTGGGTGCCCAGGGTGGGGCAGGGGGTGCAATCAGTGCAGACCCAGCCAGCAGTACTTTGCCACTGGCTATGAATAGAGTCATGCAAGGACGATACCTGTCATGGCGCAGCGCTCGCATGTCCACGTAGACAGTTGTGGGGTCTGGGCCAGCCGTGCCCTGGAAGGAGAGCAGCAGAGGAAGTTTGCTGAAGGGTCCTCAAGCTCATCTCATTTCCATGGGCAAGCTGTGTGGCAGCTCCTCCCAGGCCCTGCAGCAAGTCCACCTAAGGGTTCAGGGTCCCTGGGGCAGAGCTGGTGCTTTCCATCCAAACATCCACACAGCTTTTTAATATTGAGCGAAACATTCAATAACACTGAATGGAAAGGTCAAATCATACAATTTTACATTAATAATTTTCTATTCCCATTGATCTCTTGTGAGGAAAACACTGTTATGGGTTGGGGGTCACTTCTACTGCATTGTCAGCAGGGCCTGCCCTCTCACTAACCAGCCTAATTCTCCTGGGAACAGAGAACAGCCAAAACTTGCTCAGATGAGTTGGACCTTCAGCTCTCTCCTCTCCTGACCTCTAACTCTTACAGTTGACACTGATTCCAATTAAAGGACATTATGTATCATTTTAGTAGATAAGGAACATCAAATTAAATGAGTACTCTGATCAATATCACTCCCTGAAGATCCCAGACAACATAACCTATGTTTGCCCTGGAATTAAAACAAAAACTTCAGCACTGGGACTAAACACAGCTCTTCCTCCCAAGACAGTGCTATTGAACATTAAATATTATGGAAATAGTTTTACTTTTAAATTTGATTACAAAAGCACTTCTGTAATATGTCAAACAATATCCACAGTGAACAAAGTGAGACAACAGAAGAAACATGTATTTGTCTAGAATTCACGAGAAGGTCACATAAACTCATAGGGTGAGGAGTACAGAGGCACCAACAAAGTCGAAGTCAAGGTCATACCTGCTCAGCCAGCTTTCCCAGCCTGTTGGGCTGACAGAGGCCAAGGAGGCCAGTAGAGTGAGACAGGGAGGAGATAGCCACAGGAAACACAAACAGAAGGCAACAGGCCACATGAGAAGCACAGGATAAGAGAGAGCAAACCCATCACTGAATCTTAAAGAACAAACATGAATACCCATTAAGATCATTTTTGCAATCATTATGTGGCATCCAGGTCCCAAAATAAAGAACAGATACCTTCCGATATCTAGCAAGGTGGGCACAGGCCTTCAGATGCAGAGCAGACAGTTAGGTCTTCACTCACAGCCACTAATCTCTGTGCCACACATGCTAGTCATACTTTCTGCAACAGTGAGGGACCTTAAGAAAGGATCCCACCCAAATGCCTTCTGCTGCATGACAAAGGTCTGAAGCTAAGAGTGGCCAAGAGGTTTTTTCATAGATGACAGGAAATGAACAAAGATGCTGCCCTGCCCTGGCCACCAGGAGGAAGAGACAAGCCCTTTGGAAACCAAGAAAATGTCCCACACCCTGGCTCTGGCACAGGCAGACACCTTTCCTCCTGGCTATTCTTCTTGCATTATGTGAGTGAATATGACATTCAAGTGTAAGATATCTAATAAGTGATTTGGTTTTAAAATGTTCTTAGAAAGAAATGAAATTGAGATACTAGTACAAAATTCTGGAAAATAACACTGCAGGGAGCTCTTCAATTTCTGAAACTTGAGGCCTCCTTTTAATACATAAAATAGCTTATGGTTTCAAAAATGAATCTGGTTAATACAAATTATCATATTTATTAAAGTTTCCATTTAAAATTGCTAGATATCATAAAATGGTAAGTTCAATCTTGCTTTAAAAAGTTAGCTGCCTATTATATCCAACTTAGAGATTTCTTACAGGTAAGATTACAGTAGTTTCTGATAAAAAACAATTTGTGCTTTTTTTTTTTTCCAAATAAGCCTGTGTTCATCAATAAGAATAGAGAATAAAACTCCATAGCACTCGGAGCTTAAATGCTAAATGGAATGGAAACAGCAAAGGTTCAGAGGAGGAGAAATGGACCAAACAGGCCCAAAACTTTACAAGATGACCAGGAGACTATTGGTTTCAGCACTGTCAGCAGCCAGCTTTTGAATTGCTTAGGGCCCAGGTGCCTCACCTGAAGGCAGATGGCCACGTTGACCCTGCAACCAAATGTGGTGCTCACGGCGCGGGCAGGCAGGCCCAGGTCCTTGAACAGCTTGGAGAAGGACTGAGTCAGCGCAATCCTGGGTCTCTCCTCAGCAACCACCATGCACGTGCGCACACATGACAGGTTTACCCCCTTCATCTGCGAAGGGAGGGGAGTCAGATCTGCAGCCTGGCAAGATCCTGGGGTCCTGGGTGCTGTATTGGGAAGCCTCTGGGGGTACCCATGCGTGCTTTGGCACACAAAGATGAAGCTGAAAACAAACCTCTCTCCTTGGCCTTTCTGCATTCCACAGAATTCTAAGTTCAGAAGCACTAGAGGGTATCCTAGTGCCTTGAGATCTGCAACCCACATCTGCTGCCCTCCTGTGTGGCGAGGCCTCTACACCATGATCTTACCCGCAGGGACCTGCCCTGACCTATGCCCTCCTTTCCTGCTGGGTATGTAGCTGCAGAGGCATGTGGTGCAGAGGGTTACAGGGAACCCAAGCAGGTAGTCTTGAGAGGAGGGGTGTACACACAGATCCATGGGGAGAGGAGTGGTTTTCTCTCCTGCAAACTGCAGGGAGGGGACTTGGGTGTCCTGTATTGTTTATTTTTAAGCTTCCCAGGGCTCTGGTATGCAGTATACTCAAGAGCCTGGGTTGAACACTCACCCTGAGGATGCCTGTCTGCGTGCCCAGGCCCTTGGTGCACATCTCCATCACAGAGTAAGAGCAGAAGGTGACACGTGCCTTGTACTGGCTGACGGCTGACAGCCACAGGGACACGTTGCTCTCCAGTTCCAATGGGGGCACCAACACTGACTGGTGTCCTGAGTAGACACTGTGAGAGAGAAGACTTGTGAGGCTCTACCTGCCAAGTGCCTCAGATTGCCCCACGCTTCCCTTCCTCCAGGACACTTTTCCAGCCAAGACAGAGGCACAATTCTGTTCTAACACCATGGGGGTAGAAAAGGAGGGTGTCAGTAGAAAATATGCTGTGGGATGGAGGTGAGAGGATGGCGTTCACTAGGTCCTCCCTCTGCTCTAGACACTTGGAGAGAAATCAAGGACATCCTTACAGAGGTGTTCATTTCTAGAGATAGATCACCACTTTTTAGCATTTAAAAGAATCAAGCCGGGCTCGGTGGCTCAGCCTGTAATCCCGCGCCTTTGGGAGGCTGAGGTGAGTGGATTGCCTGAGCCCGCGGGTTCGAGACCCGCCTGGGCAGCGAGACCTCATCTCTACAATAAATCAAAAAATCAGCCGGGCATGGTAACGCATGCCAGTAATTCTGGCTACTCGGAAGGCTGAGGCGGAAGGATCACCGGAGCCCAGCAGGCGAGGCTACGGTGGCTGGGAGCGGCCACTGCACTCCAGTCTGGGCGACCAAATGAGACTCCAACTCAAAATAAAATAAAATAAAATAAAATAAATAAAAGAATCAAACAGATTATTTCCAATTACCAATAACGGATAGTGTCTATATTTAATGAAATATGTATTTCTACTCTTTTACTCAATTACAGGCTCAGACTCCAGCCCACCTCATCTCCACAAAAACCTACTTGCACGTGTTTCTCAAACCTTCTGAGCACTCAGAAAAGGCATCTTAAATGTTAAAGTTCTAAAGAGCCACACAAGTAGTCCCACCCCAGCAGGCAGGCAGGGGCTGCACTCACCTGCACAGACACCACAGGGCAAAGCCCAGGCCACAATAGGGGTCGAGGCAGATGGCGATCTGCCGGGAGGGGTACAGTTCACACTGTAGCTTTATGGAGCGGCACAAGGCACTCGTGGCTGCATGCGACATCTATGGAGTAAAGTAAAAGTCTGTTCAGTGACATGTGGGAGAGAGGACTGATGGCAACATCTGCTGTCCACACATCCAGTTGGTCATATAATACCAAACTACCAAACATCATATTTACTTTCTTAAAAGACAGTTGACTCAAATCCTTAGATAATCTAAATAATACTCATGAAATAGCACACTAAAAATCTTTGAAACAAAATTTTAGGACAGTAAAAAACTTTAACTTGAGTTCTTGGCTCCTAGCTAGGAAGAAGACACATCAAAGTCAATTGTTCCTAGAAGCCAGACAGTCCTACATCAGAAAGTTTAGATGTAACCAGAAGGCATCAAAACACGTACTCTTTCAGGCCACTCAAATGCTGAGTTTCTGGTATTTGACATAAACTTTAAGGAATGGTATTGCTGCTCTGTGATCTGGATAAGGAAGAGCTACCTAAACTTGCATCTGACAGCCTTTCTGTTCACTCCCTTCATGTTCCAGGCTGAACCAAACAGGATCTCAGAGGACCTACCTTCACTCCCGCTAATATCCCAGTGGTCGACACACTGAAGTCCAAGTACGCCAGCACATCTGGGGAGGCGGGTCTGAAAATGCTGGCTACCTTCTTTTTCGGGATGTCATCTGTTAAACAGGAGACACCTGTGATGTCAGTGCTCCTGCACACATTCCAAATAAGGTAAGAGCTTCAGGCTTTCACAGGTGAGAGATGAGGCACGACTTGCATTTGGGAGTTGGGGAGAGAGGGAACTCAGACAAGAGTGAGACTGTGTGTACATGAAAAAGCTCATCACTTGGACCCACCAAGACTGTGCAGAATCTGTGGGACAGGGACGGTGGGCAAGGCAGAGTGCAGAAGGGGAGTGGACAGGCCATGAGAGCTGCATGGGAAATCAAGTCATTGATTAGTGGAAAAGGCTACAGGATTCAACTTGCCAAAAGTCATATAGCTTGTAGCAGAGTCCAGAACCCTGACCATAGCAAGAGTACCTTTTGGTGCTTCATCAAGTTCTCGTGGATTTATAAGGCAGCCACCCCTATTCTTAGGTACAGCTGGATACAGACTCAGTAAGGGCAGGCACTCCCCTCCTGCAATCCTGTGAGGCAGTGAGACCTTGACCCACCATTCTGCTCTGACCCTGTCCTTTCCCCATATCAGCTGTCCTGGTCCCAGCTGGATCTGTTAGGTGCTCTCAGTTCTAGGCTGAAATAGGTCTTACCAAGCCAACCCAATGTCCAGGGCAGAGGAAAACCAGGGGGTTTTCCCTTTCTAGTTGGCCCACAGCATTTCACAAGTCAGTCATTCACCAAGGAAAGGAATGGGATGCTGGGTTGGAGGGTACATGAGGTGGAGGGTGGGAAGAGCAGAAAGCTTCAGAGAACTGTCAGCCCACTGTGCCAGCAGGAGGGGCAGTTAGAAGAGCAGAGATGTGGTCCATATCACAGGGCTCAGTGGAGAGAGGAGCTCACACACAGGATGAGACAGAGGCCCCAGACAAGCACCCTCATGCCCCATTGGGTTGGGAGTCCTGCCATGAACTCGGCACAGGTTCTGGCAGTCAGACCCAAGGATCCACAGCCTCTGCCACCTGTTGACCAGGCTCCTGCTGGCAGTCTCTCAGCACTTATTGATGCTGTTCCTCATCAAAAGGACAACACCAACAGCAAAGAAAGAAAACACTGGGCTCATCCTGAGACCAGTGCTGAGGACACGCACCTGTATCTAGTATGGTTGGCCAGGTCCGGATGTCCACGGCAGTAGCAGCTTCTTTGGATCTGAGCAGCCGCGTGACAGCCTGCGTGGTGAGGACGCAGGCAGACTTGCTAACCTACACAACATAGGGGCCAGGGCACCAGTGAGAAGCCCGTCCTGTGCACCTGGGGGAGAGGACACCAAGGAGGACAGCCATGCAGTTCCCACCCAGGAGACCCCGGGCCCCACAGGCCAGGCAAGGCGTACCTCCACAATCATCTTGACGGTGGGGAGCGTGGTGCCAAGGTTCTGGGGGTGTGGGGGCCGCACAGTGACGGGCACGCAGCCGCAGTATAGGCAACCATAGAACGCGGCAATTAGGTCCACCCCTGAGAGACATAGACAGGCGGACAGCATGGGGCTCAATGGCACGGGGTTCAGGGTGCAGGGGCTCTGGGCACAGAGTGTAGGTGCTCAGGGGTACACGGTGGGGGAACTCAGGAGTATGAGTTTGAGGGTATGGGGCTTGCATCCAGGGCCCATGAGGATGGCTAATGTTTTCCCACAAAGAGACGAGGGAGAATGAATCCTGGTTTCCTTGTAATACAGCCATGACTGACTATAGTATTTACCCACTACAGAAGACTGTCACAGCATGGACAGAAAGCCAACTCCATGAACATGAAGTGTGGGGCTAAGGGGTCACAGAGGCTGTAGAGGGAACAGTCCGAGGCCTGAGGGCATGCAGGAGCACCATCTCCTGCGATAGGAGGGGGACCACAGGCCCTGAGATATGGCAGTTCTTGGGAGCCCAGCTTTGGGCTCTGAGGGTAGGTCTATGCACATGAACTCTAGAGGAAGACCTTTAGGAAGAGTGCTACAAAAGAGGGTCCCATGAGGGAACATGCAGAGCCACCACACCTCCAAATGCCCCAACTGTGAGAGACCCCTGGGCACCAGGCCATGCTGTAGCAACCATGCCACTCTTCCAACTTTTATGTAGGTTTAAAATCTGCCTTAAGTAAAACTCAAAGGAACATTGTGCCGTGCTTAAGGGTTGCTTTCCCTCCCTGAGCTATCTCACTTGAGAACACTGGCTTCCTGTCCTGGATCCCACCTGTGCCCCCACAGGCCCCTCCAGCTGCTGCACACACCAGAAGATGACCCCATGGCATCTGCAGTCTTCCTCAGGCAGCAGAACCAGCCCCCAGCTATTCTAATTCCAGGAAAAAAATTAAAACTTGGTCCTGAGACATAGTCTATACCTGGCTGCTCCAACGACTAGAGGGTCTGACAAGTTAGAGTTAGGTTCCCAGCAGCCAGGCATACCATCAGTAAACCAGGAATGTGACCATTGGTAGGCAGAGTCCCTACAACTGCTGCTGGACATGCAGGATTTCACTGGATGCACCAGCACACCCAGGCAGGCAGAATGCAGTGGGCGTACTCTGCCCAACTACACAAGCAAGAAAGGGTATAGCCAGGAATTCACTTCTTGGAACTCAAGCTCACACTGCCCTGGCACAATCATCATTCCTGGCACCACTGGAAGGACATGTGGGGCTGCAACTCCCAGCCTTTGTAGTCTCTGTAGAGAGTTGGTCCTTAACCTCTTGGGTCACACACTTCTTTGAAAACGGAATGAAAACCTTGGACCCCTAAGACATGTACAACACACATGACTGTGCACATCTGCAAACATGTGCACCTCCTGTAGCATCCTGGGCCTCCGTGTCCTGCTATCGCACTTTCCACCTACTGCTATTCTTTATTAAATGTACATGTAGAACTTCACCATGGATATTTCTTTCTCATTAAAATTTTTTGTTATTGTAAAGATGTGAGGTACAATTCAGGGTTAGGTATACAAACGTTGATTATGCAAGTACCCTTGTGTATGAGGTATGACCCTCCCTCCCCTAGCAGTTTCCCTCAACTGTCAATGCCACCCCCCCCCTCCCCTGACAGTTTCCCACTACTGCCAATTGCTTTCTTTAGTATTATAATTGTTCAAGGTCCGCTTATGAGTGAGAACATATGGTACTCTGTTCTTTGTTTCTGTGAGAGATCACTGAGTATGATCGACTCTAAATCCATCCAAGTTGCTGCAAAGTCCAATGTTTGTCCTTCTTCATGGCTGCATAATATTCCACTGTGTATATTTACCACATTAAAAAAAAAATCTAGTCCAGCTTCAACGGGCAACATGGTTGGTTCCACATTTTTGCTACTGTGAATAGAGTTGCAACAAACATGCGTGTGGAGGTTTTTGTAGAATGATTTGAGTTCCTCTGGGTATATTCCCAATAGGGGAATTGCAGGGTCATATGGAAGGTCAAATTCTAGTTCTTTCAGATACCACCACATTGTCTTCCAAGGACGTTGCACTAGGTTGCATTCCCACCAGCAGTGCAGAAGCATTCCTTTTTCTCCGCATCCTCGCCAGCATCTGTTGTTGTTTATTTTATTAATGATAGCCCTTCTTACTGGGGTTAGGTGGTAACTCAATGTGATTTTAATTTGCATTTCTCTGATGATGAGTGAAGCCGAGCACTTTTTCATGTGTCTGTTGGCTGCCTGTATATCTTCCTTTGAGAAGTGTCTATTCATGTCTTTTGCCCACTTTTTAATGGGGCTGTTTGCTTTTTTCCTTTCGGCACATTTTAGTTTCTTGTAGATCCTAGATGTTAGGCCTTTGTCAGATACACAGTTGGCAAATATTTTTCCCCATTCTGTGGGCTATCTCCCTGCTCTCTTGATGGTTTCTTTGGCTTTGCAGCAGCTTGTTAATTTGATGAGGTTCCACTTGTCTATCTTATTTCTTAAGTTATGGGCATTTAGGGTTCTGAATAGGAATTCGTTGCCAGTTCCAATTTCCATAAGGGTGTCTCCTGCGTTTTCTGAGATTCTTATAGTTTGAGGTTTTATGTTTAGGTCTTTGATCCAATTAGAGTTAATTTTTGTGTGTGGTGATAGGTAGGGGTCCTGTTTCAATCTTTTGCATGTGATCAACTAGTTTTCCCAGCACCATTTACTGAATAGGTTCTCCTCTCCCTAGTGGTTGTTGTTGGAGGCTTTATCAAAGATGAGTTGGTTGAGAAATTGAGGCTTTGCTTCCGGAATCTTTATCCTGTTCCATTGAGACCAATATGTCTATATGTCTGCTCTTATACCAATACCAGGTTGGTATAGACCATATGTCTATATGTCTGCTCTTGTACCAATACCAGGTTGTTTTGATTACTGTAGCCTTATAGTTTGAAGTCTGGAAGTGTGATACCTCCTGCTTTCTTTTGCTAGGGATTGTTTTGGCTATTCGTGGTCATTTATGTTTCCATATGAATTTCTGTATTGTCATTTCCAGGTCTGAGAAGAATGATGTTGGTAACTTAATGGGTATTGCGTTGAAGCTGTAGATTGCCTTTGGTAGGATGGACATTTTAACAATGTTTATTCTTCCTATCCATGAGCATGAAATATTTTTCCATTTGTTTATGTCTTCTTGGGTTTCTGTGAGCAGTGTTTTGTAGTTCTCATTGTAAAGATCTTTCACTTCTCTGGTTAGGAAGATGCCGAAGTATTTCATTTTTTGTGTAGCTATTGTGAATGGGATTATGCTTTTAATTTGGGTCTCTGCCTGCTTGTTGTTGGTGTATGGGAATGCAACTGTCTTTTGCACATTTATTTTGTATCCTGACACTTTGCCAAAGTCCTTTATCAGTACAAGCAGGTTTTTGACAGATTCTCTTAGATTTTCAAGGTATAAGATCATATCATCAGCAAAGAGAGATAACTTGACTTCCTCTTTTCTATTTGAATACCTCGGATTTCCTTCTCTTGTCTAATTGCCCAAGCTAGGACTTCCAACACAACACTGAACAAGAGGGGTGATAGTGGGCAGCCTTGTCTTGTTCCAGTTTTTAGGGAAAATGTTTCCAGTTCCTGTCCACTTAGCAATATGTTAGCTCTGGGTTAATTGTAGATGGCACTTACTATTTTGAGGTATGTTCCTTCTTTCTCATTAAAAATTTTTTATGGGCCAGTGGCTCATGCCTACAATCACAGCACTTTTGGGAGGACGAGGCAGGAGGATCGCTTGAGCACAGGAGTTCAACACCAGCCTAGCCAACATAGTGAGAACTCATTTCTACAAAAAAATTTTTAAAATTAGCTGGTTGTAGTGGCATATGCCTGTAGTCCCAGCTGCTTGGGAAGCTAAGGTAAAGGATCATCTGGCCCAGGAGGTCGAGGCTGCAGTGAGCCAGGATTATGCCACTGCATTCCAGCCTGGGCAACAGAGTGAGATTCCAACTCAAAAAAAACATTTTTTTTCATGACTAGCATTGAACATAATCAAAAGCAGAGAACAGCATCAGATCTCCTAAAACCACTATTCAGATTTTGTTATCAAGACTGTAGAGTATTTGCTCCCTATCATTTTTCTTCTTTTCTTCCTTGGTTGAAGTATCTGAGGCAACTCCTCCCATTCTGCTCCTCAGCCCTGCCCCTCCCTGAGAGTGTACCTTGTTACCACAGCGCCTAGATCTAAGCTGGGAGGGGGGCATGCTCCCAAACTCCCAGGCTCTGAGTTCAGACAAGTCCGTTTGGCCAGTGTGGATGGCAAGGGGACAAGGAGCTCTCCAAGAGTCTCTGCCTCTTCCCAAAGTTGGGCTGATGTTCAACTTACAGTGAGGGACTTGGTACTCAGAACGTACATGAAGAGTAGGAATTATCATTTTCCCTGGAAAACAAAAAAACTTCACATTCCAGGGACTGGAACAAGTAGACGGGAGCTATCATGCCAGTGGGCATTCTGGAGTATCCGAATGACTATGTCAAGAAGTAAATCAGCAGGTATTTCTCCCTGTGTGACTGCATGACTCCCTGAGCAGGGGATAAAGGGGATAGCTATAGCTCATGGCAGCTCCCTGGGTAACAAGGTCCCAGTTCCCACTAGCAACAGAAGTCCCACCACAGAGGAAATGCCAAGTGCACCAGAGTGTCCCTCTGGATAAACCGAAACAGTCCCTGCTGAAACCTGAACAAGTGACCAGAAAGATTAGGCAAGAAAGACGTTAGCATGCAGTAAAAACAGAGGAAATCACAACAGAAAAGATCTGATATGTGGAGGATAGATTCAAAGTGAGTTATGAAAGTTCCAGAAATAGAGGGAGAAAAGGCAGTAATGAAATAAAACACTTCACTGAAATGCAGACGAGCGTTTGAAAATTAAATGGGCAAGAAAACAAGAAAACACCCACAACTAAGCATATTCTAATACAATTCCTGAAACCTGAGGTAAAAAGAAAAATACCCAAGTTTCTAGGCAAAAGAGTAACAAACTTACAAGAAAGAAAAAAATGAAACTGACATTATCACCTTAAAAGAGCACATACAATCAAGAGGAAAAGACACCTGCAATCCCTGTTCCAGCCAAGGTATGATCTACCAGCAAAAAAGGAAGGTATTCCAAGTATGTATCACCTATGTGCAGATCTGGAGAGAAAAACAACCAAAAATAGCCAAACAACAAACCTACAGAATCAAGACCCTAGGACAGGAAAGGACAGGGAATCTCTGCCTCTATGTGCTTCATCAAGTTCGCATAGATTTATAAGGCAGATACCACCATTCCTAGGTACAACTGGATACAGACTCAGCAAAGGCAGGCACCACTCCCCTCCCTCTCTATAGAGATCTTGGCACCCAGAGTATCTGGCTGAACCCACACTGACAGACGGGACAGAACAATAGCAGGGATTCCTGTGGTACACGGGCCTTGTCCCCAGGAAGACCCCAGTCCCTCATTAAAATGCCTGCTGAGAAAGCCCAATGCTGCCAGGAAAATTACTACTTGTTCCAGCCAGCACCTAGTGGTAAGGCCCCTGACCTTTTCTTCTTGGGGAATTTACTAGAAAGGGCTTAAGATCATAAAGACATATCTCTGGCAACATAGCAGCACCTCTCTCTCAAGGACCAGAGAGCCCTTCCTTGGAAATGGTGTCATCATGGAGGATGACTTCAATACTGCCATCTCACAGACACAGCCTTGACACTGACCAATCCTTCTCCTATTTTACTTTGACTCCTAATTCACTTTGACCCTGAACCATCCCACCCTTGTTCTCCCTTTAACGTGCCCAAATCACCTCTGCACACTGTAGTAGAGTTCAGTTCTTCCTTCACATCAGTAGTTTCTGAATAAAATCTGTTTTCACTCTTTAACTAATGTCTGGTTCTAGTCATCTCTGAGACGGAGGAGGACAGAAAGGAGGGGTGAGAGAGGGGGTACTGAGAGACAAAGTCAGATCTAGTGGACAAGATGCCTGGGAAAACGTATTAAGAACAGAGTTGGGAGAAATCTAGGAGGAACCAAATGCCCTCAGCAAAGCACAGACTTGGGGACAAGAAAGGAATAAGGGAAAAAGACAAGTGAAGTTTTTTAGAAGTCTCTGTGAGGTAGGGGAGGGAAGAAGGGAGGAAGCAGAACATCCTGGAGAGACCAATGCATCTGTTCTCAAATGCTATGAGTCTGACTAGACAGCAGAGAGAGGAGAGGCCACCATCACGGAAGTCATTCATCCATTCACTGACAATAGTCAACACCTGGGAACAGTCACTCAACCCAACTGTGTGGCAGGGTAACAACAGTTGTTCAGCCTAGCAGACAACTGGAAGTGGAGCACAAGCTGAGCAGTTAGAAACAAGAGACATGAAGGAGCAAGAAGGTCGTGATGAGAGTAGGAAAGGGGACCTCCTATGGTAGAAAAGAGGCTTCTGTAGGAGGTCAAGTCCTGTACAAATACATAGAAAACAAGGATCAAAAGCAGAGTGTCATCTGTCCACACTAAAAGACAGAGCATGCCAAGAAGACACACCCACAAAACAGATAAAAGCTGTAATTGTGTATTTAAAAATGTGCTAAAACACATTAAGAGCATGATACAAGACATAACAGAATAACAAATCAAAATTAGAAAAACTCTTATAGGAGAAATCAGAAATTTAAAAACTGATTTTGAAACAAAGATACAGTTTGAGGAAGGACAAGACAAAGGGAGACAAAGGGGAGAACATTTAAATTTCAAAATGAAATTTAGTAACAGATGCTGGAGAGGATGTGGTGAAAAGGGAACACTTCTACACTGTTGGTGGGAGTGTAAACCAGTACAGACTCTGTGGAAAACAGTGTGGCGATTCCTAAAAGATCTAAAACTTGACCTTCCATACAACCCTGCAATCTCCGTACTTGGAATATACCCAGAAGAACTCAAATCACTCTATAAAAAAGATATCTGCACACGTATGTTTATTGCAGCATTGTTCACAATAGCAAGAACATGGAACCAATCATGCTGCTCATCAAAAGAGGACTGGATAAAAAAAAGTGGTACATATACACAATGGAATATTTCGCAGCCACAAAGAACAAAATCATGAACTTCACAGCAACCTGAATGGACTTAAGAGTCTATAATACTGAGTGATCTTTCACAGGAACAAAGAACTGAGTATCACATGTTCTCACTCAGAAGCATAATTTAAACAACTATTGTAATACTATAAGAAAAGGATTGGCAGTAGCAGGAAATCGCAGGGGTTCGGGGAGGCGGGATTGGCAGTAGTGGGAATCTGCCAGGGGAAGCGGAGGCACACTTCATCAACAACGGTACCTGCATAATGAACATTTGTATACCTAACCCTGATTGTACCCCACATCTTTAAAATTAAAAAATTAAAAGTTAAAAAAATGAAATTTAGTAAGAAATACAGAATAGTTCAAGAGTAGACGATAACTACTGAAGACAGGTAAAGAAGATCTAACACATGCATTGTGGGAACAGGAGTACATGAAGAAAATGTAAGGGAAGAGAGCAAATAGAAGAAAACTATGATGCAAGAAAACTTTATTAACATTGGAAAAAAGACTTGAAGCTACATATTTAAAGATATTTTGTATATAAGATTGTTGACCCGACCTATAACCCATAACAACTAACATCAAGACTGTAACATACTGAACTTTTGTTTTTTGTTTAAGAGACAGGGTCTCACTCTGTCACGCAGGCTGTAGTGCAGTGGTACAATAAAAGCTCACTATAGCCTCAGACTCCTGGGCTCAAGGGATCTTTCTGCCACAGCCTCCCAAGTAGCTGGAACTACTCAGGGACATACTACCATACCTAGCTCAATATTGGACTTGAAAGAAAAATGTTCCTTTGGAATCTAGGCAAAAATATCAAGTGACTCATAAGAGAAAGAAACCTAGATTATCACTGGATATGCTTAAAGTAACGCTTTCTTTATGCCATATTCAAGATACTCAAGGAAAGAAAATGTGAGCTGAGGATTTTTTTTTAATCTAGTAAAAATGACTTTCAATTATAAGGTATACAGACTATTTTTAACAAACAAGGATTCAGGGAATACTGCTCCCATGAGACATTCCTGAAGAATCAGTCTCAGAAAAACAGCTTGGCCAGAGGTGTATGTTCATATGAACTGATGGTAAGTACTGAACATACTTATTTGTGGAACTAAAAGCAAATGAGGGTAGAAAGGGAGAGGATGGAGTATGGAATGGCCATCTCTCTGATAACAGAAATCTAACACAGCTGTGAGAAGAGGAGGGTGGTGGAGTGAGCATGTGTTAAAAATTTTAAACTTGTTTTCAAAAATCATATGGACAGTTCATAGTATTGACAGTGTTATTTTGGGAATGCTACGTGCAATGTGGGATAAAGCAAATTAGTAATTATGAGATAGTCTAATGCACCCCATAGTCTATATCAAGGGATAGTCTAAGTCATCTCCCATGTTCTAAAGCATCATGATTCTCAGTGTAGAAAAAAGGAGATATACATTATAGAAGAGGGTTGGTAAAAATCCCACAATCCTGAACTGGAATTGGATGTAACAGTATGAACTCATGAGTTAGTGCATCTCGAAGAGATATAATTATATTTATTTGTAATTCCTAGCTCTGCTCACTGGAAAGGTCAACAAACAATAGTCAGCCTGGCACCATGAAGTCTCCCTAGAGCCCAGATTTTGTTCTGGAATATCAGAACTGGGCTCCTGGAGAAATGGCTGATTCCAGGTCTGAGATGGGATAGGAAGCAAAGAATGAGCCTGCAGCACCTGTAACACTTGATGGCAGGAGCCAGTCACAAGAGGCCCTCCAACTGGCCTCTGTTTACTGTCGCTGTAGAGAAGAGGGTAGACAGTACACAGAAGATGTGTGTGAGGAGGGCAAAGCACAGTGACTGGGGTTTCCAAAGGGGAATCGGGGTTGAAGGGGTGCACACGCATGGAGAGGAGGAGCTGAACTTAGAGGTTTGGAAGGTCAGGGAGGGAACATCTTGGGCAGCTACTTAAAAAGAACTGGCAAGTGGACAGTCCAATGGCGCATTTACCTGGGGGGTAGACCAGAGCCACATGGTCCCCAACATTCAGTCTTCCCTTCTCCATCAAAGCTGCAGCTACTCTCTCAGCCCTTTTGTGCAGCTGGACACAAGTTGCAGTGCTTGTGACTGTGCCCTAGGAGAGCAACCGTTAAGTTCATCAGTGTGCGCACAGACAAGCAACTCCTCAGATCTGTGTGCACATCACTGCACACAATGCCCTGTGTCAGGAGCCATAACAATGCATCAATCCTAGACAAGGAAATGGTGTCTCTTCTAGTCATCTGCACTCCTACCAGCAGTGGAAAGGGGACAAGCATGCAAGCATCTCCTGAGGGCCCAGTTGAGAGCAGGAAGCATGGGTTCTGCTCATCCAGGATAGAGCAGGAAACATGCAGTTAAAGAAGACTTTTTTGGCCTTTTTGTTAAATATTTCAAATATAACATTATGCATAATAATATGACAGATATCCAGGTACTCATTATTTAGTAATATTTTGCTGTATTGTTTCAATTTCCCTTTTTAAAGATAAATCATCATTGTGCTCAAAGTCACTTGCAAACCACCCCCAAACCCATCCTCTCTCTCCAAGAAGCAACCATTATCCTGAATATAAATACAAATAAATAGTGACAGGCAAACATCCCTCAACATTGTGCGTGCTCATGTGTTGCCGGCACCTACTTTCTCAAAGGTGCGTGTGTGTCTCCTTGAGGACAGCACCAGTTTGTTCCTTTGCTTTGTCTGTCTGCTGAGGGCCAGCAGGGCTGTGGGACAAGGTCAGTGCAAACAAAAACACCTTGTAAACCCCTCCCTCTACTGCAGGGACTCATCCTCCCTGACCTTGTGTTAGGCTTTCTTAAGAAAATTAAAAGTACAACTAAATCTAGTAAATATAAAACTTCAGGATAGACCAGTGTAACATCAAAATTTATCACCTCTTGATTGGTGGCTTTTACTGACAGCAGAGAGTACAAGAGAAAGACCAGTGGATGTGCCCGTGAGCCATGCCCATGCATGAAGATGGGGCAGATCCTGAGAGTCCAAATCCCAGAAGACATGCCTATCCCCATGAATCAGAACTCCATTAGGACAGGAACTGAGAGCTGGACAGGGACTCAGAGGTTTGAAGGCCCCGGAGCTTCCTGCACTCATGGAGAAAACCCAGAGTCCCCTGGCCTCCTCTGTGTCAAGCCCACTGCACATTACTGCCTCATAGCCTTTGTTGTGCTGTGTTGCCCTTTGTTCAGAGCCCCTTCCCCAGTACTCTGGGTCACACCCCTCTCCTCTACTCATCTTGAGCTTCTCACCATGAGCCGATTGTACCTTGGTTGATTATTATCGCTGGCTGTCTGCTAGCTTTATTGAATATGGTTCTAGATGTTGCCGGTACACCAGAAAGACAAAGTCTCTCTCCTATGGAACTTGTTTCCTAGATAAGAACTTAGTATGCATCCTGAGAGCAGGGTCCTTTTATCTTATTTAACACTGTCTATATAGTAGGCATCAGCACTTTTTCTTTTCTTTTCTTTTTTTTTTAAGTCAGAGTCTTACTCTGTTGCCCAGGCTGGAGTGCTGGCACAATCATGGCACCATAGCCTCCAACTCCTGGGCTCAAATAATCCCTCCTGTACCAGCCTCCCGAGTAGCTGGGACCTCAGGCATGCATCACCATACTTGGCAAATTTTTTGACTTTTTTGTAGAGATAATGTCTCACTATGTTGCCCAGGTTGGTCTCAAACTTCTAGGCTCAAGTAATCCTCCTGCATCAGCCTCCCAAAGTGCACCCAGACCTTGCAGGACTTTTTATGTTTTCATATTTTGTATTCCTGCCCATGATTAGATATGAAGACTACAGCTTCTCCTTCTCCTTCTTCATATCCTAAATGCTCCTGATATAGTATGGTACACATGCGTAGGGATTCAAAACACACTAGATTAAATTCCCAAATCAGCCACCGGACCAGGGCAAGAAGTAGCATCATTCTAAAGCTGTAAACAAATGTAAAAGCTCAAAGTGCATAATTTTTACAAAATAAACATTTCCTTTTAGTTTACAAACTATATTTATATAATACTGTTCTTACATGTAAACTGTTCTTAATTTTAAAAACTGGAGCTGATTAGAAATTTTCTGCTAAATACAAAATCAACAGAAATGCTATTGTGTAGATTATGCAGAAAAACAAGGGCTCTACAAAGAAAAGGGTAGGCAGAGAGAACTGTGCCAGACTGGGTTGCCACAGCCCAGAAGCATGCGATCCTCTGAACATGAACACAGACAGGATGCTGAAATTGTAAACTGGACGCAAAAGGCCCCACTGGCCCATAGGTGTTCCGGAGTCCCTTAGCTATGGCCCTCCCTCACCTTGGCATTCAGCAGCAGAAACAGTGGGTGGTCAGGAGTGGTGTGGGCTCGCCACTGCAGCACATCGGCAAGGAACAGGAACTGTGCAAGAGGGTGACTTGGTCACTACAGCCTCCCATAGGCATTGATACCTGCCCTCCTGGGAACTGCCTGTTACCTTCCGAGCCTGGTCACTATCCTCCAGGTGGGCCAGCTCTCTCCCAGAGGCCTGTGCAATTCTCTTCCCAGCAACCAGGTTCCCCACGATCATTGAGGCTGGTCCAACCTCTAGAAACAGGTGAATTTTGAATGAGAAGCTGATAACTTCTAACATATAACCATGTGACTTTATTTCCATCACAAATTTTATTTTGAAAACATTTGAATTAGACATTTATTCTGAGACACAAATATTTTTTTAAAAAGCTGCAAGGTTTATGCCAAATGACAAAGCAAATTTCTCTCTTAAATATAAATTATGTCATATTGAAAAATTTACTAAATGATGTATACCTTGGGGGATATGATTTTACTTCAGTCACTGCCAAGTTCTCAATATATTTTATTGTTTTACTATATTTTATGTATAGATCAGGAAATTAAATCTTCCCGATAAAATGTATTTGATATTTTATGTGTGCGATAATTAGCAAAAGTTAGCATGTTCTAAAAATCTGCATATCCAAAGGAATGAAAAACTGCATATAATCGTTAAACCAGTCTTTTAAATTAGCCTTTTGAATGTATATAATCAGGAAGGAAAATTGACTATTTGCTGACAGACTTCCAAAATCCCAACAACCCAGTGTCTATAGCAGGTTTCAGGGCCCAGGCAGGTTGGTAGCTGGCTCCTGGATACAGGCATGGCTCACCACTCCATGGCACAACATGGCCACAGAGGTGCTTTGGACACTAGAGTTCCAGTCTGCTCCTGGGCATCGTTTCTACTGAGCTGAGATGCCATCCTTGACTTTCTCGTTAAAATAGATTTCTACAAGCAAGTAGAAACCACCACATAGGTGAAGTGGTCAAGTTCTCTCATTAAGACTTGATTCTAGGAAGGCAGGAGGTAGCAACCAACCTGGCATGCACACTTGCTCTTGCTCTTCACTCGGTCTCAAAAATGTGGGCAGTTACTGCTGCAGAGTCTCACAGGGCTGTACCCTAACCACCACTGCATTTACTATCCATCAGAGACTGGACTCTTGTTGTTAGGTACAACTAACCTGGTTGTTTCTGACGAGGCTTGGGAAGGTTGGTAACACAAGTGTGAGGACACATCAGGACATTACAGGGGTGCAGTGTCCCTTCCAGAAAGCGCTGTTTGGTTTCAGAAATATGAATCCCTCCGAGAGGAGCCTTGGGCAAGGTATTGGCAGGAACCAGGGCCAGACAATACACGCCTACCTGGTGGATGCTGTCGATGGCCTGGAAAGGAAGAACTCTGCTGAGCACAGGCTACCAACTCAAGGATGGTGAGATGCAAGGAGGAGACATTAACATCTAGAGGTTCAAGAAATGGAGTGACCACTAGACATTTTGTTAGATGAAGAAACAAAGTGGAGAAGAGAGGAGTGTATGCAATTTTCTGCCATCTAACTTAGAGAGGGGAGACTCACACACACTTGTGTTTTGTGTATACATGTACATAAATCTGTGACCAGGGAGTAGAATTGTGGTCACCAGAGACCAGGAGTAGGGAAATGAGAAGATAATGAAGATAATGGTAAAAGGACACAAAGCCTCAATTAGAAAGGGGGAATAAAGTTTGGTTTTTCTTTTTAGAGATATGTTGCACAGACTGATGAATACAGTAAATAGTAATGCACTGTACATTTCAAAAATCACTGAGAGAGTGAATTTCAAATGTTCTCACCATAAAAAAATAAGTATTTAAGCCAGGCTTGGTGGCTCAGCCTGTAATCCCGCGTCTTTGGGAGGCTGAGGTGAGTGGATTGCCTGAGCCCGCGGGTTCGAGACCCACC